ATTTATGAATCTTGTTTGAGTTTGGGTCCATTTCTTCTCATTTTGACCTAAGATGGGTTTAGGACATGCTTGGGGCATGCATATCCTTCAAGTAATTGTTTTTATTGGCCTTTAAAGTCCTTATTAGCTTCTGAAAGAAATAGGATTGAAGGCTTATTGGATTAAGGACTTAAGTTGGATTTTTTTAGTATCAGACTGTTCTCACGACGTGATGACACAAGGTCTCACGACGTGAGAAGCGTTGGTCACGTTTCTGGTCATCTGATTGGGGCTCACAACGTGAGCGCAGCCCCGCTGACTTTTCCTTGGTTGAGTTGACTATGTTGAGTCGTAATGAGTTGGGATCTGATTGAGTAAGCTCTCACGATGTGACCAAGGCTGGTCACGACGTGATATGTGGTTTTTGGGCATTTGGGCCTGGTTGGGCCCTAGTTTTCTGTATGTGGGCCTTTATGGTGCTTGGGCCCATTTGGAGATTTGGGTTGTGTACTAATTATTAATTTAGTATTATGTGTTTGTGCTAGCGCGCGGGTTTCCAGATCGGTAGTCTGAGCTTTTATTTGAGATATTCGGCAGTTTTAGGTGAGTTTTACTAGCCGTTGAACGGCCATTTTTTTTTAAATATTTTTTGCACAACATTTTCACCTATAAATACCATATTCTAAATATTATTTATTACACCATTCTTTTCTTACTCTATACACAAAATACACACAACATTTTCACAACCAAATCCATGGATCCCAACCAAAACAACCCCCCCCCCCCCTCCAAAAAAAAAAAACTTTAGAAATCGCAAACCCGATAACACTTTTGCGTTGGACACAACCTCTCGCCAATTCCCGACTATGGAATCACCACAAGGTGGTTTTGTCAATTGCTTCAAACTGATTCCCCTATCCAACAAATAACACTTTTCCATCAACAATATCAAGCTTTCTCAGCCTTCCAACAACAACTTCAACAATATCAAGCTTTCCAACAATTCCAACCACAACCATCACAACCCCCTCATTCACAAGATTTTGTTTCGGAAACTCAAACTTCACCACCACCTCAATAAGAAAAGAAAAAAAGAAAAAAAAAAAAAAACCGATCTGACCCAACACCACCCAAGAAAGGGTCCCATGGACAAAAGAGGAAGAAGAAAATCTGGTCGAGGCATGGATTTCGGCTTCCCAAGACCCAATCGAAGGCGATAGTCAAACGTTCAGTTGTTTTGGGGAGAAAGTCTGTGTGGTGTTTTATGAGCTAACGGGAAGTGAAAGCCGAAATCTCGATCAAATTAGCTCAAAGTGGCGCGATATTTGACTAAAATGTACCAAACTATGAGGAATTTACAATAACCTCCTAAACATACAAAAAATCGAGTCAAATGATTTTCATCTCTTCAATGCGGCTTTTGACCAATTTGAAAAAATAACGCCAACACATAAAGCTTTTCCGTATATGAAACCTTGGCTAAAGTTGAAAGATGCTATGAAATGGAAAGACCAAACGGCAGGAATTCACAATCTTCCAGTTCAAAGCGTTCAAGAAACGTTGATTCAATGTCTCAACAATCGGACGGGCAAACATATTTCGACATCAACAATGATCCGCTCAATCGGAAAGACGGAACAACCTCTTTGTCGACCCGTTGGAAGAAATAAAGCAAAAAAGCGGCTTCAACGGCTTCGGGATCTAGTGTTATAGATCAATTTGGAGGGAAATTTGACCGTTATGTGCACGTTCAAAAAACGAAGACGGATATGTTGAGTTGAGTAGAAGAAAAAATGATAAAAACACAATCGGTGATTCAAACAAAAACCGATATGGAAATTTTGAAATTGAAAACGGACGACCTCGAATGCGAAAATTTGGAGCTATTTCTCGCAATGAATGAGTTCGTTCGAGTCCGACGTAGGAATAGGGGATAGTTTTTTTAGTGAAGCTTGATAATTTTAGGTTTTTTGTTTTTAATGTTATTTTTATTTTTTATTTTAATTAATGTAATTTTTATTTTTAATGTTATTTTTATTTTTTTATTTTAATTAATGTAATGTTTATTTTTATTTTTTTTTATTTTAATTAATGTGATTTGGTATTTTAAATTAATGAAACTAGTATTTTTTTTAATTATATGATTTTTATGTATTTTTTATTTAAATTTAATTAAAAATGAGGTGGAGTATTGTGATTAGTTGTATGTATCACATAGTTAGTAGTAGGGAATGTCATGATGACGTGTCATCTATTATTATAGTGGTTAGTGGTGGGTATAACGGATAATCTAATCATGAGATACATACCACTAAACATACCATTTCATCTTATTTTTTTAATTAAATTTAAATTAAAAATACAATTAAACATATCTTTTTCTAAAGGGAAATCATAGAAAAGTCTCAATATTTTAGGAAATTTTTTAATAAAGACCTAAATTTTAATTTTTTAATAGATGAGTCCCAACTCTTTAACTTTTCTAATAGAAAAGCCTCAAGAAACTGGTTAATTTATTCACTTTAGCTTTTTTGACATGTTCATCATGTGATAGAACAAAATCGTTAATTTTTCCAAAATAATAGGACTTTTCAGCAAATTTTATCAAAACTTATATATAATGTATAAACGTATTTTTTACATATTTATATCTTTTCTTACATACTTTTGTATTTTTCAAATTTTTATATGTATATTTTTATGTATTTTTATGTATTTCAAATGTATCAATGCATTATTTTACATATTTCTATACATTTTTAAGTATTTTACATATTTTTTTTATATTTTTATGTGTTATTTTTTATGTATTATGTGTGTCTATATATATATATATATATATATATATATATATATATATATATATATATATATATATATATATATATATATATATATATATAATTTATGTGTTTTAAATTTATAAACGTATTTGTTATTTATTTTTATGTGTTATTTTTTTATGTATTATGTATTTATGTATTTTTTATGTTTTTTATGTAGATGTTTATGTACTTTTATGTATTTTAAATGTATAAATGTGGTTTTTTTATATATTTATATGTATGTTACATATTTTTATGTATTTTAATGTGTTTTTTTATGTATTAAATATTTATATGTATTTTTGTATTTTTTTTAAAGTTTATTATATAGATGTTTATATATTTTAAATGTATAATTGTATTTTCTTTACGTATTTATATATTTTTTTACTTCAAGTCGTATTCACCTTTTTTAAACAATTTATACAGCATTTTCGAGTATGTGTAGATGATTTTCCTACATACCTACATATTTTAAACTTTTCCTATTAGCTTATCTTGAAATTAAACCTCGAATGGGAAAAACTTAAAATATATGGATATGCAGTAAAACCATCTAGACATACTTGAAAAAGTTGTACGAATTGGATGAAATGGAGAAGACGACTTAAAGTGAAAAAATACATAAATACGTAAATATAATATGATTAAATATTTAAAATACATAAACATTTATACAAAAAGATTAAAAAATACATAATACGCAAAAATACATATAAATACATAATACATAAAAAACACACAATATTTTATTAAATACTTCAAAAATACATATAAATACGTAAAACAATATGTTTATATATTTAAAATACATAAATATACATGAACATCTATATAAAAAAATTTTAAAAATACATAAATACATAGTACATAAAAATATGTAAAATATTTAAAAATAGATATAAATACCTAAAAAATCCGTTTGTACATTTAAAATACATAAACATCTATATAAAAGACTTTATAAATATATAACTATATAAAAATACATATAAAATACATAATAAATAAAAAATAACATATAAAAATACATAAAGAATATGTAAAATGATTAAAAATACATATAAATAAGTAAAAAAAAAATACGTTTATACATTAAAATAAATAAAAATACGTTAATATATACATATAAAAACTTAAAAAAATATACAAATACGTAAAAATATATATAAATACCTAAAAAATATGTTTATACATTATATACAAATTTTGACGAAATCTACAAAAAAATCTCATTACTTTCGAAAAAATAACAATTTGGTCTCATGACCTGCTGAACATGTTAAAATGGTTAAAGTGAATAAATTAGCCGGTATTTTGGATTTTTCTATTTGAAATGTGAAAAAGTCAGGATTTTTCTTGTTCAAAAAATAAAATTTCGGACTTGATTAAAAATTTTCCCAAAGTATTAAGACTTTCTGGAGATTTCCCTTTTTTTATTCAATTAAAAAAACATTACATTAATTTAAAACAAACAACTTAAAATGAAAAAAATAAATAAATAAATAAATAAATAAATAAATAAAAATACAACACAAACAACTTAAAGTAGTTTTTTAAATCTTATTTTTTCAATGATTGAATTTGGGCACTCCTTCAATTTTAACCAAGTTTTGAGGTGTGTAAACGGTTTGTAGTTTGTATCTTCATATTGATGCATAGACACAACAACTAGCTCGTCTTTGTGTACGTTGTTTATAAAAAAAAGTTATAAATTTCATTGAACTCAAGGCGTTTAATCCTTATATCGCAAAACTTCGAACATATTTGATCAAGACTACGGCTTTGGCAACCCATTAAATCATGAAAAACACTTCATACTTTTACCCAAAAATCATCATGCATTTGGTTATTTGGCTTTTCTAAAACTGCCATCTTCTGTGGAAATTGTAAATCGTTGTGGGCAACACGGATCGCCACGACCACGACCCACAGGGATGGTGTGCACGGTCGTGATTCGTGGCCACCTAGACCGTTCATCGTATGTATACGCGAAAGTCATATATTATGTATGGCCTTATTTTGGCTAAAAGCCTAAAACTGAAGTTAATGGCATGTAACACTCCAATTTCCAAAGTTTTGACCTACAGTTCTGATTTCACCCCATCAAAATTCAAACATATGTTTTATCTGGCAATGCTTATTCTAGAGTTTAACCATTTTGAACGACAATCGATTAAAAATGTTTTTTTAATCGTCCACTTTTCTACAGACAAAAACATATTTACATACATTCTTTTAATTAAACTGTTGTTTTCATAAAACTATAACCGTTATCCAATAATATACAAAAAAATGGCATGGCAATCAAATTCGGTGGTTTGTAATGATCTTTTTTAATTTGAAAAAATTACATTACAATAATTCCCCTTTTTTTAATCTTCATCTTGACATCTCTTGCTCCTCTGGTGGTATCAATCGAAATACTGCCACTGCTTGACTTTCCCTCCTCTTGTTTTCATGCCATCCTATATATTTTTTTCACAAAAATAATAGTATAATATTATTTATCAATTTAAAACTAATAACATTGATTTGTGTGCACAAGATTCTTCCATTTTTGCCTTTTATCAAACCACATTTTACAAAATTAGAAAGTAATCAATAATTTGAATTGTGCATAAGTGAGAAGATCTTAATGCATAGTTGCAAAAGTACCGATTGAAACGTTGAAGCCTTGATGATCAAGCTCCCGATACTGTTGACATAAGGCACACCATCCGCAAAATGCATTGATCAAACAATCTTCAAGTAGGCTTCCTTTTAACTTGTATTTTTTTCTCATTTTAACACGATATAGACAAGTGTAAGGGAAAGTCAACCACAGCATGAATATGAAAACAAAGCTCGCTGCTCCTAAACACGCACACAATGTCGCTGGTTCATACCAAGCTGCATCCATTTCCATGGTGAAAGACAAGTTAACTTCAAAGTTCAAACATAATTTCAATCAAACAGTAGAATGTAATAGAATCAAACACGAGTTGTATGAGCTATGAATCTGAGCTCATGGATTCTTTATGTTCAGGCTAAAGTATAGACATGTAAATTTCTATACATCTAATGATACTCACATAACCGAAAACGAAAACAAAAGCTGTTTTGCACGGTGGTCAGTGGTGGTGGTTTGGGGTTCAAACAAAGAACTGATTGCAAGTTTCGATTGAATCACTAATTTCAAATCACCGATTGAATAATTGTTGAACGAAAAGCAAAATGTCCAAGTGACTTACGCGTATGTCCTTCCGTCAAAATCTCAGCGATCTCCCCAAAAGTAATGCACGGACAAAGCGTCGTAACGAAACCTGAAATTTGGGGGTGAAATCGATCAAACGATTTCATATGACCGAATGAAGATGTAAATTTTGAAAATACGATTAAACAATTTGCGATTACGTACAGTTTTTGATGTTGGAGGTACACTGGAAAAGACCGGTGGACCAATCCCGTTCATGATCCGGATACAAATGACCAGGATTTGATCTCCGGGGACTCAAGGAATAAGGATACCGTGCTCCTGAGGACGACGCCCCCGGCTGCATGTGATAGAAATGTGGTGGAAGTGCTCCCGTCGTTCCCGGTTGAGATTGACCCGGAAACATCTGAGGGTTGTAGGTTTGGTAGTGCAGAGGCGGTGGTACTACCATTGTTGATTGTTGATATTGAGGCGTTGATTGCGACGTCACCGCCCATGGTGGTGGTGGTGGAGGCGGTGGCGGCGGCGGTTGTTCATGGTGTGACGATATCGGAGCTTGGTTGGGTTGCATGTGGGGCTCAATTTTGGACCCCACCGAGACACCAACAAGAGATGGCGATGGAGAACAATAAAATAATGATGAAGAGGGAATTTTTGTCGCAATACAGCAAAAATGGATTTGTGAAGAATTGGAGGAGGAAGGAAGGAAGGGGTTGAAGATGGTAAATGGTGGATGAAATTTGGATATCGGAGGTGACGATCGAAAAGAATAAAACTTGACTTTGATGCTCAAAATTAGGAGGTTAAATATTGGGAAAGAATTGTAAATATGGATTATATTTATATTTATAGGTTAATAATAATTAAATAGCAATCCATATATATATATATATATATATATATATATATATATATATATATATATATATATATATATATATATATATATATATATATATATATATAGGAAAGTTCAATTGAAAAAAAAAATTAAGAATGAGGGAATCATTCTCAGCCACTCCTTCCGTCGTACCAGCAAAAATGTGAAAGTATTAGACATGTGTTTTCGAACAAAACATGTTTCCTTACACTATGTTAATCATTACCTTAATCTATAAAAAACATAGTTTTTTCGATTTTTTTAATTTTTAAGAAGCTATTTTTATCGATATATGATTTTATATATACCAAAATTTATGATTTTTTATTCTCTACAAATAAACATCCATATTGATATAGTTTTAAGATAAAATAAAAAAAAAATTTATATTTTCAACTATTTGAATCCATATTAATATAGTTTTAGGTAATATGTTTTTAATCGTAAACATATAATTTTGTTTATGACATAATGATATATCTTCAAGTTCCAATCCTGTGACAGTTGACATAAATTATATAATCTTCAACTTCCTTATAATTCAAAGTATATTTATGGGGAATTTCAAAAAGAAATTCTTAGTATTATTGCAAATAAAGTTCGAAAGCATATTCGTAGTGAAGCGGGGGATTCATACTTTTGTGTCATGGTTGATGAGTCACGGGATGAGTCTAAAAAGGAGCAAATGACGATAGTTTTGAGATATGTTGATGCGGAAGGAATGATACGGGAAAGGTTCTTGGATTTGGTTCATTTTAGGGATACCTTATCATTAACCTTGAAAACAAATATACGGAGACAACTTTTACACTATCAATTTGATGTTAGTAAAATCTATGGTCAAGGTTATGATGGTGCTAGTAATATGAGAGGGGAATGGAACGGATTACAAGCACTTGTTCTTGAGGATTGTCCTTATGCATTTTGCTCACATATTGCAACTAGCCTTGGTGGCTGCTTCAAGAGAAATTATTCCGGTTCACCAATTTTTTACAAACTTAATTTTTACAATTATCGTAGTTTGTGCTTCCAGTAAGTGTCATGATGAGTTAAAAAAATCAAAGGCAACTGAGATTGAACAATTATTGGAACTAGGTGAAATCGAATCAGGTAAAGGATTGAATCAAGGTGGGACATTAAGAAGAGCTAGTGATACACGTTGGGGTTCTCATTTTCGTTCCGTTTGTAGTTTGCTTAACATGTTTGCTTGTGCTCGTGTTGTTCTCCAAGGAATAATTGATGACGTATCTGCTACTTATTCTCAACGCGGAGATGATGATGCAGCTTATTGTTATCGGAAATCATTTGAGTTTGTGTTCATTCTTCACCTGATAAAGGAAGTAATTGGAAAAACTGAAATACTTTCTCAAGCTCTACAAAAGAAATCCCAAGATATTCTTAATGTCATGGAGTTAGTTTCAGCAACAAATGAGGGTCTAAATGATTTCAGAAACAAGGGATGGGAGTCTTTACTTGCACAAGTAAAGTTTTTTTGAGAAAAACATCAAATAAATATGACAGATATCAATGATCCATATACTTCTACTTGATACCGGCCTCGAAAAACAGATAATCATGTTACTTTTGAACATATTTATCGAGTGGATTTGTTTACAGCCACATTTGACAAACAGTTACATGAGTTGAATAGTAGATTTAATGATTGGGCGATATTATTTGCTTGATAGAGTGGTTCGGTTAATCTTGACACTTCCAGTTTCTACCGCAACAACAGAGAGGGAGTTTTCAGCAATGAAAATATTCAAGAACCTTTCTCGCAAACAACTTGGTGATTTACATAGAAAGAGAAATCGTTGAAACCATTGATTCGAAATTTGTTATTGATAAATTTAAAGACATTAAAGGTCGTTGGGCTGAGTTGTAATTCTTTTTCGATGTGTTTTTGGTGTTTATTTGTTGAAAACAATTTGTTTTTCTTTTAAGAACGTTAATTTTAATTTATAACCCCCCCCCCCCCCCCTCCTAGTTAATTGTTCAAGCTCCGCCACTGACTGTTTAGGCTGAATAATATGCAGGTAGAAACAGTAAACCAACAATCATTTTGGAAGTCGTTGCGTCGTATGACTTATGGATATGGCATGCATTCTTTGGAACACCAAGCACGTGCAATGACTTTAACATCCTCCATCGGTCTCTTATTTTTGATGATGTCTTAGCAGGCCGGGGACCAAATGTGGGTTATATCATGAATGGTCGGGAAAATAATATGGCATATATCCCTCATAGGATGCTTTTGTCAAGTCAATAACTTCTCCTCAACTTTGAAAACACAAGTTGTTTGCTGAATATCAAGAGGCCGCTATAATAGATGTTGAATGAGTATTTGGAGTTCTACAAACTCGTTTTGCATTTCTTTGACACCCATGTCTTTTGTGGGACAAGGTTATGATGGGGAAAATTATGATTGCATGTATTATCATTTGTAATATAATTGTGGAGAATGAACGTTGTACATACCTTCACTATTATGATCCATTCGAATTTCTAAATGACATGTCTACAAACTGGAAACAAAGAACATATATTGAAGATGACGATCAAAATTTATAATATTTCACTCAACGAATTACAGACATATCCAGTTAGTTATATAATTAATATTGTCAACTTCGCAATAGAGAAATTCATAACATTTTGAAAAACAATTTGATTGAGCATATATGGAAAAACTTTAACATTGATAGATAATTATGTAGTTTGCATCGTCTGTATCTGTAATCGTGTATTTCATGTTTTGATTGTAACTTTTACTTTATTAAGTTTGATTTATGAATATAAAATATTTTTTTTAGTTTTATATTTAATATAAATAATTTATTAATATAACTAAATAAAATATTTTTTAACTTTTGTAATAAATATTAGTATAATAAAAATTAATCTAAAAGTTTACTATTTGTAAAATAAAAAAGTGGTTTGATTTGGTTTGCTAAAAAGTTAGGTTTAGTTGGGTTAAATATGTGGAAGAGAGAAAAAATTATTTATTTAATGGATAGTTGGGTTGGTTTTAATTGTGAATTGAAGTAGTCTAAAAGCATCTCTAACTCACTTTTATTTTTCATTATTTCTCTTATTTTTCCCTCATTACTCACCATCACTATCCCATTTAATTTAATGAATAGTATAATACCAAAATTTAAATAGATATTGAAATTTTAAAATATAATAACGTATTTTACAAAAGCTAATAATTAAGTGTTATAAGTATAATCTTATTTATTTAATATTATTGCAATGAAAAAAATATAGATTATATATTTATTAAAATCAAATTAATAGAAAATGTGTGTTTGAAAATTTATATAAGTTACAAGAATGAAAAATATACTTTTTGAGGGTGAAAAATAAAATAAAATTAGAGATGAAACACTATTTACCTCATTTTTTTACTTCGGGAAAAAAATAAAAATGAGTTAGAAATGATCTTAGAGGTCTAAATATCATATGTTTACTTATTAGTCCTTACTCTCTTTTTTCTAATTAATATATGTTTAATTGTTTAATCTAAAAAACTAAACGGGCTCGAGGATAAACCCGCGATGAACTTCTAAAATCATTTAGCTGTTGATTTTTTAAAAGAAACTATAATTAAAGAAAATTTGTATTTGGAAATATGAACTTAAAACTTCTATTTTAGAACAAATTATTTAAAAGGTAATTCAAATAGCTTATAGTTATCTTTTGAGCAATTTTTCATCTTTCAAAAACTTACGCCTACGTTTGCCGTGTCAGGCTATTCTGACAAACATGCCCTAAATAGACACCTACCTACTACTAATTGGCAATCTATGACAGTCTGGTTCACCTGGTAGGCTAAAGCTAACACGCACGGTAACAGCAAGCGTTTGAGTGAAATCAATTTTTGCACCCCCGCACTAGATATAAATTACAAAAATAATATATATATATTATACGAAACAAAAACTAAAAAATTGGGGTGACACATATGCTATCTTTTGCTAACATCCATGATCCAGGAAACAATTACACGGGTAGAAGCGAAGCGGTGTCGGTGATCTAATACTTGGGGGATTCAGCTGACCTGCGAGGGCCGGCAGTTGGTGCTGAAGAAACAGATGACTTACTACTTGATGACGATCCACGAACGTTATATCTTTCGTAAACTTGTTCACGGTTTTCCGACCACCATGTCTCCGCTTGATGCTCCCCAAATCTCCTTCGACTGTAAATATAAATACATCCTTTTTATTTGTATTTTTTACCCACCATACATAATTTGGGAAATATAACCTTTTTATTTTTGTTACCAATATACCTGAAGCGGACTCTTTTGAGATCTCTAGTTCCATCACGGAGAGCCACTAGGGTTATGTACACACCAGGCTCATACTGTTCGATCCATTCAGCCTCCACTTGTTGTTGATTACTACCACCAGCTGTTGCTGTTGTCTCACTGGGGACAGACACAGGAACAGGACTCCTTGCTTTCAAACTGTTATTTCCATCTTCTTGTGCTGACAATATATCCTTACCCTCCTCTGTCACATGCATTGCTCCATTTGGATATTCCTTCTCGACTTTATCATTTGGTGTCGAAATATCATTGGCATTAAGATAATGAACACCATTTTGCTCCAACACACTTGCTGACTTTACCTGTATGCTCTCAAAGTCATACGATCCAGCTGGCAATCTCTCTGCCATATCCTTCAGCTGCATACATACGTA